AGAAGGGGCAGAAAGGATGAGCTGGGCAGGAAAACCAACTCAAGGAAGGCTTTTTCAAAATCACCCGCTTTTCAGTGGAACTTGACCCCTATATTAGGGTTAGGGGTGTGCACCAGGGTAGGGGTAGGGATAGGAAAGCGAGGTGTCCTGGCATGATTCGGATGGCTGGAGCGTGCTTAGGCTTGCGTAACCCCCTCTGGAGGAGTTCTCAAGGGGCTTTTGGCATCCCGGGAGCACTCCAGGTGGAGCTGAGCACTGAGCCGTGTTGCTCCTGCAGCTCAAGGGCTCATGGAGACTTTTGGATTTAGGGGCAAACTAAACAAACCTTGCGAACAGCAGCAGGACTGTTTCTCTGTCGTCCTGCTCCGCTGTGACGTAAACACACACCCAAAACACATCCCTTGTTCAGATTCACTTTGGGCTTTGAGTGTTCGCCCCGCTCTTCTCCAGTGCGGACTGGAACATGTTAGTCAGCACATAATGTTAACCCCTGGTTTATTGAACCCATGGTCTCTTGCCCAGGAGATAATCAGATACGCCACTGTTTGTTTTCTCAGTCCTCCGCCTATTTCTTTCTCTCTTGCTTTCCTCCCTCCCAGTATCCCAGATGCCTTTGCAACACTGCAGTCCGAACATGTAGAGAAGCTGTGTGTCGTACTGTTTTTGCCCGTTGCCTAGCAAAACAATCCATGAACAATCCATGGTTCTGGGTTCATACATAGCAATGTCCCATGGTTTAAACTACCCAGAGTTCACAACCCAACCACAAACGTTCAGGCTTGTTCTTGCTTCCGCAGCCGTAGCATTCACATATGATGGCAACCCCAGAATTCAACCACCCAAACTCTCTCCTCCATACGCCGCCCCCAGCCTGCCGGCGCCCACGTCTCCCCCATTTTGCTTTGCACACGCGACGTGCAATGATCCCCAGCGAGCCACGGCCACGGCCTCAGACGCTTCCCGTGGAGGGTGGACGCGCGCACTGGCTTGTGAGCTATGGCCAGAGTTAAGAGAGGAAGCCGGTCCTGAGAGATGCCATGTGAATGTTCTTTTCTGTGAGCACCCATCTTCTTTCCCTTCCCTGCCCCTCTTCTTGCCTTCAGGAAAAGACTCCCACGAAGGAGATGAAGATGAGCGCCATGACTGGAGCGAAAATCACTCCCTTCCTCTCCCTTTGCTCCCTCCTAGCAGGTTTATGGGGCCCTACTGGTAAGTCAGGTTAATTGCTTTCCTGTTTGATTAAATGCCCAAATTTCCCTGTGGAACAATTTCTCCTTGGGTGAGGTGGCGCCTGAATCACAAGAGGATGGGAGCATCTGAAGATGCTGGATATCACCATGCTGGGTCCCACCAAGGCCTGTCTAGTACAGCATCCATGTTCCCCAGATGCCCCAAGCCAGGTGCTGGTGGGAAGTCCACAAGAGGGACATCAGGGCCACAGCGCCTCGCTGCTCACACTGCCAGCCACAGGTGCGTGCATGGATCCTGCCCCTGACCCAGGAGAAAGCTTCCAGCTGCCGCCCCGGTGCGCTTGCAGCTTCATCCTCAAAGCTTCGTCTCACCCCCATCTGATCCGAAACTTCCTCACATGGCGGCTGCCGCCACGGCCCGTGGAAGACGCTCCAGGTGTGCCGTGTGAAGAAGCCGTTCCTCATCTCTGTCCTAGCATCCCACCAGCCGGCTTCCTGGGATGACACCTTCGGGATCCAGCATTACGAGGCAGCTCCTGCAGTCTCTCTACACAGGAGCGATTAGACACACCTCCACCGTGCGCCTCCCCACACCTTTTATCTAACACAACGCCTCAGATGTTGCAACCCCGCCTTGCAGGGGACGCGCTCCAGTCTGCTGGCAAAAGAGGCCACCCCCTCTTCAAGCCAAGTCTTGGGGAGGCACGGAGACGCTTGAGCAGACTCAACCAGAACTGGCGTCTTGTACGGTTCGCATCAGGACCTGTTCCCTACGAAATGCTTTATTATTAGCATAAGTCTTAGTATTTTCATGCCCTCAGACATGGGCGGTGTGGCCAGCTCTTCCATCTGGTGGTGCACAGAAGGGAAAAGGTGTCCTCCCCCTCTTGAACTATCAGTATCTTGGCCATGAGCAGCACCACTTCAGTAACTAAAGGATAAATCGCGTAACTAAAAGATAAATCGCATGGGATGCCGAATGCATCGAGTGCAGCCAGTCCTGTTGAAAATAATAATGGTCTGCCTAAACACACGGGAACCTGATCCGGATTTTGACCATTTACAGGTAGGGAGGAGAAACCTTCCTCCCCCAGCTGACCCCCCCCCCAGTGAAATTTACCTCCGGTGTAGGAGCTAAAGACGTACCAGCTGCACTGACATCACTGGGGGGAATTTGGGGAGCAAACGCATCTGGGTTGGGAGGCTGGACTCCCCGTCCTGCTCGTGCGTGGGGGTCCTGGCCCTGGCGGGGGCCCAGGGACTTACCCCGCAGCAAAGGACAGGAGTCAGGGTCCGCTCTGTTAATTCCGTGCATGCTTGAACCCCGGCCTGAGCCCTCCTAGGCGAGGGGCTTCTCTGCACTCGGCGGCCACTGCGAGGCGCCTGTTCCACACAGATGCGCTTGAAGCCGCTTCTTCCCACGTGGCCCCCACCCCAGAGGGAAGCGGCTCGCCTTCCTGCGCAGGCTGCCGCATCGCATCGCTGCCCACCTCTCCTCACGCCCTCTCCCCTCCCTCTCCTCAGGTGCCCAGGTGCATATCAACTGGGAAATCCCGCGCTATGACGGCTGGTACAACAACCTCATGCATCACCGGCACAACTCCGCAGGTGAGCAACCCAAGCAGGGCTTCCGCCGGCAGCCCCGCTGCAAGCGCCTCGGTCTCCCCACCCTCTGGGCTTTGCAAAAGGCGGCGAAATGGGGCGTGGCTTCCCACGTCCTGCACACGGAAAAGGATGCAACATTAGAAAAAGCTAAAGGTGATCAAACTGAAGGTGTGGGACCTTAGTCCAGGGGGCCGAATCCAGCGCTCCAGAGGCCCCAGTCCAGCTGTCCTGTGTTCCCCAGAAGGCTATTCGCTCTGCTCTCGGGCTCAGCCCCTTTCCGCTGCAGAACCAGCTTTGGTGAAGTTTTTCCTCCTCTTTCAAAAAGTTGGCTTGACTCTCCAAAGCTTCGTTACTGGCAGGAAGGGCTTCAAGCTACGGTGGGCTGGTATTTTGGGCCTCCAGGCCCAGCCTCCTCTGTCATGCAGCTCCAGAGTTTTTCAGAAACAGAAGGTGGTCCAGGTCCCACAACCTGATTTAAACAGAGCTATAATATAATTCTATTCCCGTCTGGGTGCTAAATGTGGACAGGCGCCTTCAAGACCGCCTCACTCTCCTAGCTTCTTGGAAGGATGAATCTGAGCTCCTCCGCAAGGCCCCCAAGGAGACGTAGGATCTGATCCTGACTTAGCATGCCTTACCATCTGGTCAAAGAGCCTGCTCCAGTAAAGGATGTGGCCAGGACTGGTCTGAATGGGAAGGCTGAGCCCCTGCCCCATGGGCCAGGTACCAGCTTGCCTTGTTTACCAAAGTCGGGCACTACCATGGGCTGGCAAGACTGGCCCACTGGTGTCTTTCTTGCATAAATAGGGTCGCTACCTCCAGTCCCAACGCAGAGACTTTAGCAGGAGGCAAAGGACCTGTCCTTGACACTCCTTGGGGTTCCTTGACTTTGGAGGGAAGTCAAATGAGAAAATGCCTTCAAATAGGCTGGAGGACTGCCTTCTGTAACGGGAGGCACACGGCCACCTTAGGTCACCCATACTGAAGGTCAAGATCGCTTTTCACTGCTGCCGGAGTGCAGGACATGGAATAATCAACTCAGGTTGTGACAACCCAGATTCGGGCTGGACATCAGGAAAAGCTTCCTCACTGTCAGAGCAACACGACAGAGGAACCGGCTGCCTGGAGGGGTGGGGGGCTCCCCCACACTGGAGGCATTCGAGGCGAAAGTGGACGGCCACCTGAGTGGGGTGGTGTGGCTCGGTGTCCTGCAACAGCAGGGCTGGACCCGATGGCCTTCAAGGCCCCTTCCAGCTCTGCTATTCTAGGATTCGGTGGATGTAAGTGCCTCCTACAGGAAGGAAACATGTGTTCCAGTGCAGCGGATGAGTTGGGTCAAGCAGGCCTGTTCATGTCTTTCCACCAGGATCGTTTCTGTCCCGGCTGCTCCATGCTAACTACGCGGATGGCGTGTACCAGGCCCTCCAGGAGCCACGTGTCCCCAGTGCGCGGAGACTCAGCGACGTGGTGGCCCGCGGGGCCTCGGGACTGCCTTCCCAGGGCAACAGGACCGTGCTGGGTGTCTTCTTTGGTAAGCTGGCTGCACCAGTGGGCATGCCTCCCTCTCGCCACACCTGTTCCACCTAGCTGTACCTGGCTACCTTCGGCTCCTTCTCGCCTTCTAGAAGTCCCTCTTGTAGGGCAGCCACTCGGCCTGTTCTTGACGCAACACCATGATGTAACAGGATAAAGGATTTTTGCTTCCTCTCTTCCTCTGCCCTCCCCATTTCTTTGGCCACTTGGTGGCATGTCTCTCGAAAATGTAAGCACCTTTTCTAAAAATACCCAGTATAAACACAGACAACAGATAGTCCTATCCTGGTTCTCCACGGGACTTGTGACGTCCAAGAGATCTTGCGTGTGAGCAGAGATGCAGGTTGAAGAAACGGTTACAATTGGCACGGAAACAAAAGCCCCCTGTTCTCCTTTCTTAGAGCTTTTGTTCCTTCAACTGGATTTGGGCTGGGTGGTCTTCCAGACAGAGGCTCCTTTCAAACAGAGGACTTTCTCTGGCAGCCGTTCCAAGAGAAGACCCCTGTATAAAGCAGGACACACGGACACCCAGTGGCTCCAGTCTGACGCATGCCAATGCATTCACGGAGTGATCCACCTGATTCTTGCTGAGTGTGAAATTTGGTGGTGTGGTTGCGGCACAGAGTGACGGCGTGCCGGTGGGAATATGCGCACGCATGTTAGGTCACGGGATGCTGAGACGTTCGCTCAGGCATTTCCCCCCTTCCCCGCTTCCCCTGGCTTGGCTTACAGGGTCCCGTCGAGGGGCTGCTGGCTTCTTGGGTTGCAGTTCTCAGCCACACCTCCGCCTGCCCCTCTCACAGGCTTCTGCTTCAGCCCTCAGAATGACCCGGCCGCTTCAGTGCCTCTGTCCAGGCATGCCTTGCATTTTCCAGTATAAGTTAAGCAACCCCAATGCACCCTGAAGGCTGCTGGGTATTTCTCCATCCCAGGGCTGCTGCCTCAGGTGTGGAGCTTAATCCCTTCAGGTGTGTTGAAAGAGGCTCCGAATTTCTCAGAAGTCCTCAGATCCTTTCTAGTAAGGGAGCAGGAAGAGAAGCAAACTGGATTGCGGAGCAGCCCAGGGCAGCTTCAGTCAAAGACGGCCCCCAGCTCACCCAGCCCCCATTCCGCTTCTCCGCAGCGCGATCCACAACCCGGCCGCCCCGCGTCCTCTTCCCTCTCCGTGGTCCCTGCCGCGCGTCGGACCGCTGGCCCATCCCCGATCGACACACACTTCCAAAAGTGCTTCCCCCGTCCCTAAGCATGCCGCCCCTTCACAGCCACCCATGGGAAGGCATCTGCGGCGCCTTGAACTGCTCCAGGAAGTTCGGGAAGCACGGAAGGTCCTCTCCCCAGCCCAGGCCAATTCATGTCTGAACCAGCACACCTGAAGCACCCAGAGCGGAGCTCCCCTGCACGGGGTCCAACGCCTGGGGAAGCAGCGCGCGCCACTGTGCGGGTCGGTGTCTCTTCCAGAGGCCCACCGGTAATCCACCCTCCGGCGGGTCTCCCGCCCTGGCCTTTGGCAGGTTTTCACATCCTTGGCGAGATCGTGGAGGCCGACACAGCTGGCTGCCCCGCCGAATTCCTGAACTTGGCTATCCCGCAAGGAGACCCCGTCTTTGACCCCGAGGGCTCCGGCGATGTCGTCCTGCCCTTCCAGCGGGCACAGTGGGCTCCGGGAACGGGGCAGAGCCCCAACAATCCCCGGGTCGAGGTAGGAGCCGCATCTCACCGGGGACAAGGCGAAGGGCCTGCGCCGAAGTGTCCTCGCCGTGGGCAGAGGAGGAAGTTCATGCGCCTCTTTCGGCCCGAGGGCGGGACGGGTGTCACTTCGGAGAAGTTCTTCCTGGCCGCCTTCCAGTGGCAGCGAGGGCCCGGGGCAGAAGTGTGGGGTCGGACATTTCCGCAAAAGCAAGCAGAGGCCAGCGGAAGCTTTCGCTGCCAGGAAGGGAGCTTTAGCGGCGGTGCTGCAGCCTCTCGGCAGGGGGAACATGCAAGAGATGGGAAGCCCCAGACCCGTGGAGGTGGGCGGGTGGGCATGGCCATCGCGGAAACCTTGGAGGGACAGATCTGGCCCAAGAACCTGAGGGGCAAACCCCGAATAAAGCGAATCGCCACCCGCAAAACCCTCAGCCAAGGCGTGCCCCCAGTTCCACCCGTTCAGAGGCTGCGAAGGGACGGGCTCACCCGCTGCCCCTCCGCTCCCTTTCGGCAGGTGAACGGGGTGACGGGGTGGCTTGACGGCAGCGCCATCTATGGCCCGAGCCACTCCTGGAGCGATTCTCTGCGGAGTTTCTCGCAAGGGATGCTGCGCTCGGGAGAAGATCCCGGCTTCCCGAAGCAGACCAAAGCGGGCAGCTTAATGTGGAAGGTGCTGGATCCATCTGCACAACAGGGCGGACCAGAAGGAATCCTGGGTAAGCAAAGCTTCAGGGTGCAGGGCCTCTCTCAGCCGGAGTCAAGCAGTGGGGTAGGGGAGATGGTGGCCTTCCAGGCTGCGCCGTTCCAGGACCTCCGGCCCGTTTTCTGCCCAAAATGCTAGTTGCGGAAGTTCTCAGTGTGCTCCAAAGTGCTTGGCTGTCCAAACAAGGCCACCCCAAAGTGCAGGCAGGCACAGCAGAGTGTCCGGGTGTCCTACATCATAGAGAAAGGCCCCTATTTTGGAGGCCTGTCCTCTGATAAAGCTGTCAGAGGCACGTTTGGGAATTCATTTCTGTTTACTAGTAAGCTACGCTGGATAAAAGGGGACCATATTCTGGCGAGCCCCACCCGCTCCCTGCAGCCCTTTTGTGAGGAACCCGTGGCAAAGCCCCAGTGCACCCGCCACCCAAAAGAGTTGGGCATCGCTCCGTCTCTCCTGTGCATCCGGCCAGGCCGGGCCGGGCCAGGCCTGCCTTCCGAGTCTTCTCACAGCCCTCTTGCACTCCTCTCTTTCCCTAGAGTTCGGAAACGCCAAGGGAAACGCAAACCTGTTTCTGCAAGCCACAGGCATTGTGTGGTTCCGCTACCACAACCACTGGGCGAGGGAGCTTGCCAGGCAGAACCCAGCCTGGTCCGACGAGGATCTCTTCCAACATGCACGCAAGCGGGTGGTCGCCGCTTACCAGGTGAGGGGCCTGAGGCGGGAGGAGCGACTCCTCGGCCGTGGTGGGTCCTCGGCTGCAGGAGCGGGGCTCACGGAAGACCTTGCTCCCGGCGGACTCCCGCTGGGCCGCAGCTCCATGTGCAGCGACTGGGGGCTGCCCTCCGGTCCTGGGCACCTCGGCAGGGGAGAAGCCGGGCTCCAGGTGCCCTGGGCCAGGTTGCTTCCCCCACCAAGCAGCCCTGAACCCTGGCCCAGAAGCAGGCAGAAGGGAGGCAGCTCCTGACCGACCGTGCACTCGCTCCGCTTCCCCACCTTCTGCCTGAAGGGCCGGCCAGAGCCCGAGCTCTCTTCTGGGGGAGAGCATGGCTGTGTCGGGGGGCCTGAGCCACACAGGCCCGCTCCCGTCCCTGCCGCCCCTGAAGGAGCAGGTGGAGGGGCAGCGCTCGCTCAGCATGGGAGAGCTGGGTCCAGCCCAGCCCCCCGAAACCAGCTGCCTCATGGAGGGGTTGGACTGCCACTCCCGCCCTCCCAGGCGGCACGGAGGAGATGGGGGCTGCCACCCCAGGCGTCCAGAGGCCACTGGGTCATGGACACCTGGGCAGGACAGGCGGAGGGTGCTCTGCTTCACAGCCGCCTCTTTGCTTTCCCAGAGCATCACGCTGTATGAATGGCTGCCGGCCTTCCTGGGGAAGGAGAGCACGGCGCCCTACGGAGGTGAGCAGCAGGCTGCCTGTGCTCGGGTGGGAAGCCCTTTGGGGGAGGCGGGGAGGCGGCCCCGGCGGCCGGAAGGATGGAGACCTGCGGGGAGGCATGGCCGGATTCTGGAGCAACAGTGCGCCGCATCTTCCCTTGCGCATCCATGCAGCGAACTGTGCTTCACGCAGGAGCCTTTCCTTGTAGAGGCGTTCCAGCGACCTGATTGCTGCGTTCACCTCCCCCCCCCCCGCAGCCCCCACCAGCCACAGGCCTGTGCTCTCCATCAAGGTGCCTTTGCACCGAGCCCCCCGGGGCTTTGGGCAAGGGTCAAAAGGCCCTTCGGCTCTCGCTGCCCTTCCCCACTGGCCTCATTCGTTGCAAGGAAAAAGCACGATTGTTCTCCCAGGCCTTTCCGAGTATCATTTTGTTTTGTTCTTAGTCCATTGCACCTTTTCTTTAAATGTTTTCTGCTTTTATTTGTGTTATATTTTGCTTTCTATGTTTTTACTGTCCTGGTCTTTTAGGATTAAATCAATAAATAAATCGTTGAGATTAGTTTTTATTTCCCTTTTAAGGCATGGTTCAAAGCTGTAAAATCCTGGGTCTCACTGTGCCGTTATCACCGGTCTAAAAGTTCACAGAACAGCCTTTTTAAAAATGTCATAGATCACTCTGTTTGTCAACTGATTTAAAGTAATAATCCTCCTCTAAAATGAAAATCAAGTGCAAAGCAGTTGAAAATATAGTGCAAAGATTGGAAATATAGTGTAGGCTTTAAAATAACAGTCACTGAAAGACTAAAATTACTGGGGAATGGAAACCTTCACCAGGGCTGGAAAGATCCTACTGAAGGAGCCACAAGACGGGACTGCAAAGGCCTGGAGCCGACCCACGTTCACCTTCTTTCGCATCTTTTGCTTTTCGTTTTGGTCGTGTGTGTCTTTGGGTTGTTTGGCTCGGCTCGGCTTGTGGTTTCCTTGGTCAGGCTGAGAATTTTCCGCCCTCTCCCCTCGTGGGGAGCGCGGGTGCCCTCTCTCTCTTTCCCTCTTCTTTGGGACGAGGCTTTCGTATGCCAAACTGTGTTGCGGGGTTCCATGTCCTTTGCCCGATAAAATGCAGCCTCTCTTTGACCAAGTGCATGGCCCTCTTCAGACATCGCGTCTGTTGGCTCCTGGCTGTGGGAAAGCGGGCGCAGAATGCTCTCTCGCCCCTCTGCCACCCCCTGAGCCGCTTCTGCCCGGCAGGTTACAAGCAGCACGTGGATGCCCGGATCTCCCCTGAGTTTTTGGTGACGTCGGCCCTCTTCCTGGGCAGCATGGTCCCTGCCGGGGTCTACATGCGGTGAGTGTCTCATGCGCGGCAGAGACGCTGGGCCGGGTGGGCCACGGGGGGGGGGGCGCTGGATGGGGCGGTTGGCAGCCGGTGGGCCTCCTGCTCATCCCCTTTGTGCCGCTTTCCTCGCAGGACCCCAGACTGCAACTTCCGGAACGTGACGAGCGCCAATGGCAGCCACTCCACGGCACTCCGGCTGTGCAACAGCTACTGGAACCGAGAGGTGAGGGGGCTCGCTTCCGCAGGGCTAACTCAGGGAGGTTCGGGCACGGTGAGACACCGGCCAGAAGTCCTGCGGCTCCCAGCATTGCCCAGGCAGCCACGGTCCCGCGCTGGACCTGGGTGGCCTCTTCAGCAGGGTTCCTGGGGAGGAGGTTGAGGCCCCACTGGGGGGGTGTCCAAGGACAGGCTGGACGTGCACATGGCAGGCACGTCATGGCGGGAGCACTCCAGACGTTTTGCACCCCTGCTTTATGTTGCTCCTTGTTTCCCCATTGTTTTTCTGTCCTGGCCAGAATTCAAATCTCAAAACAGCAAAAGATATTGATGATCTGCTGCTAGGAATGAGCTCCCAAATCGCTGAGCGAGAAGACAACATTGTGGTTGAAGATCTGAGAGGTATGGGGTGATGTTGCGGGGCTAGCGGGCCACGGCTGGCTCAGGCAGTCTGATCACCCACATTCACGGGCTGTTGTTGAAACATGGGTTATCGTGCTGTCTGAATGCAGCCACACTAACAGACCCAGGAACAATCTGTAACTGATCACCCGACAAGAAAGCACGGGCTCTCCTTCGGAGATGCTTTGGCCTAGCAGGTCCCTCTTGGATGTGGCCGCCTGCTCCTCCAGCTGGTCCTCCCTGGACGAGGCTCCTTCTCAGGTGCGAGAGGCCGGAATGCACCTGTGCCCCGCCATGGACACACCTGGCTGCGCCACACCTTTTGCTCTGCTGCAGGAGCCCCTTTGAGGGTGCGTGTTTTGCTCTCTAGATTACTGGTATGGGACGGTGAAGTACTCCCGCATGGACTTTGTGGCCAACTGGATTCAGCGCGGCCGGGACCTTGGATTATCTACCTACAATAAAGCCAGGGAGTTCTTCAGACTCCTCCCAGCCCGCAAATGGCTGGATATCCAGCACCAGAACCAAACGGTGAGCCCACTTCCAGAGCAGGTGGGGAGGGAAGCAGGAGCCAGGCAGAAGAAAAGCAGCAGCAGCTAGGTCCACCTAGCCCATCACTCGGTGCACATCAGGCAGCAAGCCAGCTGCCCGTGGGATCGCTCAGGCAGGATGGGCGCAGGCCTCCTCTGCCCAAGGTCCTCAGCCATGGGTGTCAGTCTCTGGTTCAGGGACGCGGCTTGCAGCCGCTGATAGGCAGGGCCTGCGTCCGTGAAGCAAATCGCAGGTCCAGGGCTCGCTCACCTCCGCACGAAGGGCTCGGGCAGACGTGCATTCTCAAAAGCCACAAAGCGGTTCATCTCTGGCTGGGGTGGGTGACTCAGGGCAGGACCCAGAACAGGAAATGAGCAGCCCTGCTTCCCTCTTGAATCAACCCAGCAGCCCAGCACGGCTGAGGGACCAGCTCATCCTACTTTTTGCCCCTAGCTTCTCGAGGAAATCGCAGGGCTGTACGGCAACACCGACAACCTGGAGCTGCTGCCTGGGGCCATGTTGGAAGAGAACAGGACGCTCTTCCATGCCATCATTGAGGACCAGTTCCTCCGCCTACGGGATGGAGACCGGTTCTGGTTTGAGAACATCAAGAACGGGTAGGGAGACCATCCACTTCTCGGTAGCGTTCAGAAGTGTGTGGCCTGCGGGGCAGCAGCCGGGCTGGGATTTCTCCCCACTGGCTCCGAGTATCCGAAACTCTCCCAGCCCTCGCCTTCTGGGGTATCCACGAAAAGGGCCGCCATTGAGACACCTGCAAAGTTGTGTCTGCCCGGTTGAACCTGGCCCGGCCCTGGAAGGCCCTTGGCCCCTGCGAAGGACCCAGTGGTGAGCAGTGCGGACAACTCTTCTCTGCTTGAGTCCCTGGGAGGCGGATGCCGGTCACGGTAGACGGCACAGGACCAAAAGGGCCGGCCGTCCAACGGATGCAAGGATGGGTTTCTCTCGTAAACATGCGTGTGTTTGTGGAAATCACATTAAAACATGTTCTGCGAGGACCAGTTTTTGAAAAAATGTGCATTAGATAAAACTGCACAAACATGCATGTATTCAGAAAAACCTTCACAACAATCGTGTGAATTTCCACAGTGCTTTTCCTGGAATGGGGGGATGAAGCAGAATTAATACTGGGGAAATTCTCCAGGGTTGGAACAACCAAATTTAATTCTCAAGGTTTGGGCTCCACTGAACTAAACACTGTGAATATGCTCAGTGTAAGTCTGGGGAAAAATGAGAACCTGGGAGAGCCTGACATGGCCAGACTGGCCCATCAGAGCTGAGGTTCCACTGAGCCCCTTTGCTGACTTCTTGCCCTTAGTTTATTCACTGCTGAAGAGATTGCAGCCATTCGAAACACCACATTCCAGGACGTCCTGGTGGCCGTGACCTCCGCGAAGCCAAGCCAGATCCAAGCCCGTGTGTTTCTCTGGGGAGAGGGTGAGTGGGCCAGTCTGGGCTCTTGACAAGTGCCCTGAAGTCTGAACACAAAGCTTTGCAGCACCTGGAAGGAGCCACTCCGTCCCCTTTGCTCTATTGGCATCATGGGGAGACCTGCCTTCCTCCTCTTCCTCTCCCCATCTATTTTTCCCCCTGCTGCTTTCCCCCAAACTTGTACCCAGGGTGGCTCGCAATGTAGCAAAGGAACAGCGGTAAATTTCAAAACAATACTTGAAAACTAAAATACAAAGCCATAAAGTTGATAAGTATATGACAGGGACCAATGCATATGATATTAAGTTAAACACTATGGAGAAATTAAGCTGATCCCAGTATGGAATGGACCATTCCAATGGCTTCCAGCCGGCTTTGAATGCAAGTCCAGGACAAAGAGGGCCCCAGGCCGCTTCCCCGCTGGCCGTTCTTTCTTGGGCTGCCTGTGCTGTCGGCACTGGGGTCAATTCTGTGCCATCCCTTCCGCCTTGGTGTGCGAGGGGTTTTATTGATTCAGGCCCCGAATGGCAAAACCTCCTGGGCCCATCCTTGTAGCACGGAGTAAATTCCGGACCTGCAACATACCAGCATTCACTCAAGCCCGTAAATACCGATCCCCTGAAACGAAACGGTCGATCTGTCTGCTACAGAGACTGCCTGCCTGTTCTTGCAAAGAACGGCATCTGAGCGAGCTTCGTTCAGCGCAGACCCCGAGCGAGGCCATTGCTGAGGGGCGCTGGGCCGGGGTGCCCCTCGCAACCAGCGTCTTCGCCGGCTCGCGGCCGCTTCTGAGGAACCGCCCCGGGGGAGGGGGCGCAAAGGGCCACGCTGTGCTGACCTGCCGCCGCCTCTTGCCTCCCCTCCCAGACGGCCTGTGTCCCCAGCCGGAGCAGGTGACCGCTCAGCAGCTGCCACCCTGCACGCCGCCCTTCGTCCTGGACTACTTCCAAGGAAGCGCGGCCGGATTCGGGATCCTCATCACAGCGCTCTGCTGCCTGCCCCTCGGTGAGCCTCCGCCAGCCTCGGGTCCCCGGCATCCCAAGGAGCGCTTGGGCTCGGCTCGCGCCCTCGCGGGGCCAGATCGCTGCCCCAGCCTGCGCTTAGGCGTCTCCCATGAGCTCATGCGCCAGAGCGTGAAGCTGCCGTCCTCAGGGATCCGGTGCCCGGGCTGGCTCATACTAGCATTTGGTCTGCACCCGACCAGTGAGAACTGGCTCTCAATCGTGAGACTTGGGAGAGAGAAGCATGTCCCATCAGCAAGCCTGACCATCAATCATCCTGGCTGGGGCTGATGGGACTTATGTCCAAACCATCTGGAAAGGACCGTACTGGGAAAGACCAGCATGTTAATTTCTAAAGTCTGTTTACATATGTGGCTGTACTTTTTTTCACAAACAGACGATACTGCTGTAGCGTACAATTCCACACTTTCCCCTGTGGATGCATTAAAATGCCAGGTATTCATTCCAGGAGAGACTCGGCTGTGCTGAGTCTGCCCACCCCCCCTTCAGCTTGCCTGGGCTGACCCCCCCCCCCTTTTGCCAATGCTGCCCTGTGCCAGTGAGAGGTGGAAAGCCCAGGAAGGTCCTCAGGGGGGTCAGGAGGCTGCCCAGGCACAGCCGGAAGAGCAGAGAGAGAAGCACCCACCTGCATGAAATGTGCATGTGCTAGTTTGCATGTGCAGGTATCAGCATCCCCCCCCCCCGTCTCACCTCCGAGGGATGCAGCCCCATCTTAGTTTTTTCACCTTTTGCCTCTCGGGGGGCAGAGATGGACAGGCGAGGAGGAGAAATAGAAAGGCGAGGAGTTCTGGGCTCGGCAGCAGGCCGCTTGCAAGCCTCGGCGGGTGCCCAGCAAGGCCGACTTCTGCCGGACGACCCTGGCTGCTGTGCCTCCACCTGCCGTCTAGAATGGTCTCGTTGGTGTCTCTGCAGTGAGCTTGTTCGTCGCCTGGATTGTCGCTGCTTTCCGGAGGAGATCTTTCAACAAGCTGAAGAAGAAGCAAAACCAGAGTGACCAAACAGTAGTTTCTGCAGAGGGAATCGAAGGTGAGGCACACCCCAAACTATCTGCCCCCCACGCCAAATGCCGCGGGCAAGGCAAGCATCAGGAGATGCAAATTGCTTGGAGAATCTTGTTCTATAAACAGTCAAAATTATGATGTGCTTCCCCATGTCCTTGCTTTGCCGCTGTCAAAAAAAATATGGGTCGCCGCATCAAAACAACCTTTGGAAAAAGCATTGAAATTTTGACAGCTGGCTGCCAGACATTTGTGGTCTCAGGGACAGCCCACCTTAAATAGGCCTCGGGAAAAGGTGGACAAGTGAGAGGTACCTAAGAAGAGACAAGTAAAAAACTAAAGGATTAACCCCAGAGGGCCTATTCATCTGCCCAGAAAGAAGCTAAACAAAACACTTTCTGGTTTCTGGTTAATAAGATACCAGAAACACACCTGGTGGCAATAGTTTGCTATTCTAAAACGATCATGTGGTTTCCCCATCAACCGTCTATATATTTTCCCCTTTGCGGTCTATTTCCCATTAACAAAAGGCAATGTTTACCTCCCTAAGCAAAGCCGTGATCCCATGCCCAGCTACCCACCCATTTGCCTAAAGAATCCAGGATTGGCACATCGAATGTGCCGGCCGGACAGCCTGCCCAAAGCCTGACTCCAGTCTGGTGTGTTTTCTTCCCCGCTGCGGTTGAGGGCAGGTTCTTCTGTGCCTCCAGGTGGACTTTCTGTGGCACAAGCTGTTCAGGATTCAAAGCCTGGTGACCCCATTCTCAGTTCTCAGCTTCTACTCAGCTGACTTGTCTCTTTTTCCCCAGCCTTTGAATGGCTGGACCCCAAGACGGCCAGCTCCCCCGTCTACCTTCAGCTGCTCGAAGACAAGGTGATCAAAGTGCTGGACAGCAAGCTGGCCGTCCTCCGAAGCATCACCCTGAAGAGCCACGAGCGCGTGGAGACCCTCCTGTCCAACAACAAGGGCAGCAAGACCTTGCTGCTGAAGATCCCCAAAGAGTACGACGTGGTACGTGGTGTGGCGTGCCGATTCACTCAGTCACAGACTGGACATGTTGACGTCCTGCTCAGGGCTAACAGGAGGGGCGCTCCCTGCCTGGGCTCCGCTCCCTGACCTCCAAATGCAGGGGCTTCTAGACATGGCCCTGAAATGGCTCGGATGGGACCAGGTGGTCCGCTGCTGCCAGTGTTGTTATGTGCTGCAAAACTGCCTCTAACTTGGCAACTCTGTGAATGAGTCCACAGAACGCGCTGTCCTTGGTAGTCCCGCTCAGCTCTGCCTGGGCAGGCAGGGAGCGGCGTGGACACTTGGAGCAGTCGGGGAGTCACGCAGACCTCGCTGTTAGCGCACCGGCTGCAAGGCCCGAGCCTCGCGAGATACAGGAGCAAACCTTCAGGTCAGGGTCTGCGCACCGAAACCAGTGCCCATTTTCAAACACTCTTTATGAGTATTAGCAGCAATCCTATATCTGAATGGCAAACTCGCTTTTTCTGTATGGGTCTTTGTGTTGTCAAAATGACGCTATCCGTGCACAAGGAGAAAGAATCGGCAAGCTCGGGAGAGCCTCAGGGTTTGCAGAAGTACAAAAAGCAGGCAGGATCCAAGCGAGGAGAAATTCCCAAATCGCTCGGTGACGGACAAGCATTCCCAGGGGGCACCGAAGACTGGCTGGCTGCCGAGCACGGGGGCAGGAGCGGAGTGGAGCGCCGGGGAGAGGGCCTGGCTGGCTGCACCCTTGCACAGAAGCACCACGCTGCTCTTGCAGCCTGTCCCACCTGTGTTGCTGGCTTGGGGCACAGGGCGAACGAGGGGCTGCACGGGGAGGGAGGGAGGGAGGGAGGGAGGGAAGGCCTCGGGCTCATGCGGGCTGCCCCACCTGAGGGCATCACCACCTTGCCGCCTCTCCAGGTGCTGCAGTTCCACGGGGAGGGGGAGCGCAAGGACTTCCTCCGGCAACTGACGGCCTACCTGGGAAACTACGGGTTGTCCCTCCACGTGTCCGAGATGAGCGAGCAGCAGCTGCTGAAGAAGGCGGTGACCAAGCAGCAGAGGAAGGACATCCTGGAGACTTTCTTCAGGCACTCCTTTGCTCAGGTACGGAAGGCGCTTCCTTGTGCAGGGATAATCACGAGCGTTGTTATTAAAAGCATCTTTATCCCAGAGAAGTTCCACAAGATAGGAGCTTCCCACAGGCCGATGAGCTAGAAAGACACAACGTAAAAAGGACAGGGAGGGACAGGACGGGATGGGATGGGACAGGAAAAAATAGGCTGAACAATCCTTTATAGCCGCAACTGTGGCCCATGGGCTGGGGGGTCCCCACCCTGTTTCCTCTCTGATATTGCAAAATGGCCTCAACAAGCAAGAAGGGGTGGAAAGACTGTGGTCTGCCTGCAAAAACATGACATAAATAGACACCTGCACTTCCGGGTCATCCTCCTCCTCCTCCTTCCTCATTCTCCCGTTGCGAGGAGTGGTTGCTTTTATTTGTTGGAACTTCCTTGCTTTTTCTTGTGTCTAATACCAAGTTGGTGGGTTACGTAACATTTGGATAATTCCGTAGAAGTTCTGAGCTGTTGCGACACAGAGCGAAGACACCTTGAGAAGTATGGTTTTGTTTTTTTGTTTTTTTTGGATGTATAGCCTGCCTTTTTCCTACAAAGGGCTCAAGGCAGCTTACATCATTCTGCTCCTCCATCTTATCCCCACAACAACAACCCTGTGAGGTGGGTTGGGCTGAGAGTCTGTGATTGGCCCAGAGTCACCCAGCTGGCTCCATGGCTGAGCGGGGACTCGAACCCAGGTCGCCTGAGTCCCAGTCCCACGCTCTTAACCATGACACCACACTGGCTCTCAATTATGTTTGAGCTAATATTGGCAGGGGAGGGCAGAGAGAGGGAGGGAGGGAGGGAGTTGTCTCAGGTGTGTTTCGATCGCCCAGCTCCAGGCTCAGGGCTGCGCTTCCTGGAGCCTAACCTGGCCTTCCCTTTCCAGGTTCTCAACATTGACAAATTAGATGCCGGAGAGCTCAGCTTGGAGACTTCCCAGAAGGCCAAGGAAGCCCTGAAGTGCGAGCTGAGCAGGCAGGAATTCGCAGAGGCGCTGAGCCTCAAGCCGCAGTCCGTATTCGTGGACTCCATGTTCTCGCTTGCGGACAAAGACGGCAATGGGTATCTCTCCTTCCGGGAGTTTCTGGACATCCTGGTGGTCTTTATGAAAGGTAAAATATTCATACTGCTGACTGCTAAGCACTCAGGGGAGGGAGAGATCAAAATCTGGAGGCCTAAATTCAGCACTAGAAAAGAGGCCAAAAATTTAATACCAGAACAAAATAAGAATGTGTGGGTTGCCCTTTCCTGTCCCTTGTCCAGGATCTCCCCAGGAGAAGTCCAAACTGATGTTTGCAATGTATGACATAGACGGGAATGGCTTCCTTTCCAAAGAAGAATTCTTCAGGATGCTGAGGTATCTCCTGTGGCTTTAGCCATGGGACAGTCTCCCTGCAGCTTCTGGGCCAGATTGCTTGGTGGAGGTTGCTGGCACTTCTGGAGAACTTCCCAGTCTCTGGCATAAGTGCAGCAGGGCGACATCAAGCTGCTTTGTCAGCGGAAGGTTGTCGTCCGTTTTGTTGCTTCTGGTTTCAAGCCAGATCTTTGTTTTCTTCACCATCCCTTTAGCTGAATGTTATTCCTAACAGTAGCTAAGACGGTGGGAGGAGGCCTTTGACCCTTGGAGAACAGGAGTGGTGGCACTGCACAAAACTGGGAAGCCAACCAGCAATCGGCGGCCAGAAGGCAGTGGGCCAGAGGAAGGGTGTGACCACGTGGGAAGCCACGGTGGTCAGAGAGAGAACCGGGGCCTGGGCTTCAGCACGCCTGTTTTCAAGGACCTCTGGCCTGTGGCTTCCTAGTTCGAGGAGGCGCAAAGCAGGCATCAGGTCTCCAGGCTGCCTCGCCACACGTGGCCCTTGGGCTTGTGGCAGCGGCTGGCGCCCACCCTGCCTGCTCGGCTCATCCTCCTCTCCTGTGCTCCAGGTCCTTCATCGAGATCTCCAACAACTGCCTCTCGCGGGACCAGACGGAGAAGGTCATCGACTCCTTGTTCAAGGAGTCGGGCTTCCAAGATAAGGAGGAGCTCACCTGGGAGGACTTCCACTACATGCTGCGGGACCACGACAACGAGCTCCGTTGCACCCAGCTGTGCGTGAGAGGTCAGTGGGACCGCCGCAGAGGCCGGGCAGGGCGCCGGAGGGCCGTGTGCTCGCACGAGGGGATGGCCAGGCTGGGAAAGACGGGTGCGGAAGCAGGCTGGGGACTTCAGCTTCTGCCTACCTTTTCCAAGACTGCCGAGGGGAACAGGATTCGGGAATGGTGGACCTCGGCTCAGAGAAGCCAGTCCAAGAAGAGAGCCCCTTTCCTTCGCCAATCCCAAGCTCTTGGTGGTGACAGTAGACGTGATTTTTCTTTTCTGTCTCCCAAAGGAGTTTCGAACCAATTCAAGCAAAGCGATAACAACCGTGTCTCCTTCATAAGCAAGGACAGAGAAAACAAGTAAGCCGCTCCCCTTGCATGCCACCCTCCCAGGGGTTCAGCTAACCTCAAATGCCCAGCAGCGTCATGAAAAGGAGTTTCTGCTCACGTGGAGGGAGCAGAGCAGACCAGCTTTGTTCCTCTCATGAGGACGTGGACTGTGCAAAATCCAATTCTTTCTCACCTGCGATGGGTTGACACCTTCTTGAAAAAGTGGTGGAACCAAAGGCCCAGGTCAAGCGCATTATTTCCTAGTGGTGTTGTGGATCCCCTCCTTCTCTGGAGAGTGATTATCTGTTCCCTTACAGCTTGTTCCTTAACCGGGAAGTGCCCCCAATTCTGGGTGGGCCTATACCATCTGGAGAAAGCCCAGGGTCAGACCTGCGCAAGAGGCTAGGAAAGAAGTAAGTGCTTAATGCGTTTCCCATGCATATGAACATCACGTTCACATCATCTCTGCACTGAAAGCCAGAAGAACACAGGGTAAGGCTTTCCTTGGACCAAGGGGCCAGGCACAGATCCCGAAAAGCTGCATGTGCTCGAGTTCTTTGGAAGAATAGTTGGATCAAACATTTTCCCTTGCCACCATCCCCTGATTTTCCAGGGTTTTGAATTGTGTGAAGCTGATGGGCCGCCCTCCAAGTGGAGATACTTCTGGGGCACATGGGGTCAGTGTTGGCTCCTAAGCTCTGAAATTTTCTCCCACAGGGAAAGTCCGGTTTGTCTCCCACATTATTCGGCTATTTATATGCAGGGAAGATTCAGGCACTGGTGAATTGAATTTTACTGCTACGGATGTTTTGGCTCTCGGCCTGTGATAACTCTGATCCCTGTCTTCCCCCCTTTCTCCCCTCTTTTAAACGCTCGTCTGGACCATTCCCCATCACAGACCATCCTTCCTTCAACCGCATCTGTACACGGAAGCCCGGAGAGAGAGGTACCAGCGGAGCAAAGTCCACCAGAGGATCCAGCAATTCAAGCGCTTCATCGAGAATTATCGGCGCCACATCATCTGTGTGGTCATTTTCTCGGCCATCACAGTCGGGGTCTTTGTGGAGAGAGCTTACTGTGAGTTCCCGGTCTACTTAGGTCCACCGAAAGAGCCGCTGGGCCCGAGACCAGGCCTGACCACCTTGGGCCGGAGCTCCACATCCTCACACAATGGGGACGGAGGCGTGCCTGTCTCCAGGAGAGGTGGCAGGTGGCAGCCACGGCTCAGGAGGCCACGTATGTATCTGCTTGCAGCACCAACTAACGCCCGACTAAAAGCCAGAGCCTTCCGCTGCTGCAAGTAGAGCTTATTAATGGTTAACAAGGGAAGTTTGATTCTAAACTTCCCGGACCTGCTTTTATAGTGGCCGCATAGTGACTCGGACCTGTAGGGGCTGGTCAAAGCTTTTTGCTCCAACGCTGCTGCAGAAAAACAGGTGGGGACCATGTGGCAGGCCAGAAAGCTTCCCTGGCTGGCGTCCTCCTGGCGTTCTGGACAACGGCACCCGCCATGCTGGCTCTTGGCCGTGCTGCTGCGGGGCTGATGGGAAGAGAGGTCGAAAATATCTGGAGGCTGCCAGCCTGGGCTGGGCTGCCCTTTCCTCAGACTGTTGTAAAGCTCCCGTTTGCCATCATCCCCAGCTAGGAAGGCCGAGGGTTCAGGAAGACGGGAGCTGCAGTCCAGTGGATGTGCAGGCCCAGTTTGGTCTCCTTTGCAGTAAAGCCAGAGGCTGAACGCCCCCAGGATGGTCCCAATCCCACCCCACCGGCTCAGAGGAAAACCCCTCCAGATGTGCCCGTGCGCCTCTGTGCCCTCACAGCGCCTCTGGGGACATTTGCCGTTGTCTTGCGTGGCAGTGCGTGTTCCTGGGGGAGTTGGGCTGGGCTTGTGTGGCGCCGGAGCATGGCAAAGAGGCGAGAGGGAAGCACGCAACACGCCCCGTCCTTCCGGCTGCCAACCCGCTCTGCTCCGACCCTAGATTATGGCTTTGCCTCGCCGCCCTCGGGAATCGCAGACACGACCTTCGTCGGCATCATCATCTCCCGCGGGGCGGGGGCCAGCATCTCCTTCATGTACTCCTTCATCCTGCTCACTATGTGCCGGAACCTCATCACGTTCCTGCGGGAAACCTTTTTCAACCGCTACATCCCCTTCGACTCCGCCGTGGACTTCCACCGTTGGATCGCCACCGCAGCCTTGATTTTCTCAGGTAGGCTCGGCGCACCTGCGCAGCGCATGCCTCTACTTCAGCGCCGGCGAGCTGCCATGGCTTCTTGGACAGAAGGTGGCTCGTCTGTTGCTCCTGAGGAGCACTGCTGGTCTGCGTGCCGGCATTTGTTCCCATGTCTTTGCATCCCACAGTGCTGCATACCTTGGGCCATGTCGTGAATGTCTACATCTTCTCCATCACCCCGCTCAGCATCCTCGCCTGCGTCTTCTCCAGCATTTTCTTCGATGATGGGTAAGTGCTGGCTGGGAGTTGTTTTATCGAAACTAAAACCTCAGTGTTCAGGTTTTATTGCAGTGTTGGCACTTTGCGATAAATAAGTGGGTTTTGGGCTGCAGTTTGGGCACTCGGTCTCTAAAATGTTCACCATCACTGAGTACGGGTTAGAAAAAGGAGGCGTCCTGGCAGGGTTTTGATACTTGGAATGTGTTCTGAATGGGCAGAAATGCTGAGCTGGGCAGAACAACCTACTCAAGAAAGGCTTTTTCAAAATCACCCTCTTTTCAATGGAGCTTTGCCCCTATATTAGGGTTAGGGTGTGCACCAGGGTAGGGTTAGGGTTAGGAAAACGGGGTGTCCTGGCATGATTCTGATGGCTGGAATGTGTTTAGAATGGGCAGAAAGGATGAGCTGGGCAGAAAAAGATACTCAAGGAAGGCTTTTTCAAAATCACCCTCTTTTCAGTGGAGCTGTACCCCCATATTAGGGTTAGGGATGTGCACCAGGGTAGGGTTAGGGTTAGGAAAACGAGGTGTCCTGGCAGGTTTCTGATGGCTGGAACGTGTTTAGAATGGGCAGAAAGGATGAGCTGGGCAGAAAGAGCTACTCAAGGAAGGGTTTTTCAAAATCACCCTCTTTTCAGTGGAGCTGTACCCCCATATTAGGGTTAGGGATGTGCACCAGGGTAGGGTTAGGGTTAGGAAAACGAGGTGTCCTGGCAGGTTTCTGATGGCTGGAACGTGTTTAGAATGGGCAGAAAGGATGAGCTGGGCAGAAAGAGCTACTCAAGGAAGGGTTTTTCAAAATCACCCTCTTTTCAGTGGAGCTTTACCCCTATGTTAGGGTTTGGGAAGTGCACCAGGGTAGGGTTAGGGTTAGGAAAACGAGGTGTCCTGGCACGATTCTGATGGGTGGGATGTGTTTAGAATGGGCCGAAAGGATGACCTGGGCAGAAAAAGCTACTCAAGGAAGGCTTTTTCAAAATCACCCTCTTTTCAGTGGAGCTTTACCCCTATATTAGGGTTAGGGATGTGCACCAGGGTAGGATTAGGGTTAGGAAAACGAGGTGTCCTGGCACGATTCTTATGCCTGGAATGTGTTTAGAATGGGCAGAAAGGATGAGCTGGGCAGAAAGAGCTACTCAAGGAAGGCTTTTTCAAAATCACCCTCTTTTCATGGAGCTTTACCCCTATATTAGGGTTAGGGGAGTGCACCAGGGTAGGGTTGGGTTAGGAAAACGAGGTGTCCTGGCATGATTCTGATGGCTGGAATGTGTTTAGAGCGGGCAAAAAGGATGAGCTGGGCAGAAAATCTACTCAAGGAAGGCTTTTTCAAAATCACCCTCTTTTCAGTGGAACTTTACCCCTATATTAGGGTTAGGGATGTGCACCAGGGTAGGGTTAGGGTTAGGAAAACGAGGTGTCCTGGCATGATTCTGATGGCTGGAATGTGTTTAGAGTGGGCAGAAAGGATGAGCTGGGCAGAAAAAGCTACTCAAGGAAGGCTTTTTCAAAATCACCCTCTTTTCAGTGGAGCTTTACCCCTAAATTAGGGTTAGGGATGTGCACCAGGGTAGGGTTAGGGTTAGGAAAACGGGGTGTCCTGGCACGATTCTGATGGCTGGAATGTGTTTCGAATGGGCCGAAAGGATGAGCTGGGCAGAAAAAGCTACTCAAGGAAGGCTTTTTCAAAATCACCCACTTTTCAATGGAGCTTTACTCTAAATCAGGGTTGGGGGTGTGCCCCAGGGTAGTGTTAGGGTTAGGAAAACGAGGTCTCCTGGCATGATTCTGATGGCTGGAATGTGTTTAGAGTGGGCAGAAAGGATGAGCGGGGCAGAAAAAGCTACTCAAGGAAGGCTTTTTCAAAATCACCCCCTTTTCAGTGGAGCTTTACCCCTATATTAGGGTTAGGGGGGTGCACCAGGGTAGGGTTAGGGTTAGGAAAACGAGGTGTCCGGGCACGATTCTTATGGCTGGAATGTGTTTAGAATGGGCAGAAAGGATGAGCTGGGCAGAAAAAGCTACTCAAGGAAGGCTTTTTCAAAATCACCCTCTTTTCAATGGGGCTTTACCCTAAATCAGGGTTGGGGGTGTGCCCCAGGGTAGGGTTAGGGTTAGGAAAACGAGGTGTCCTGGCATGGTTCTGATGGCTGGAATGTGTTTAGAGTGGGCAGAAAGGATGAGCTGTGCAGAAAAAGCTACTCAAGGAAGGCTTTTTCAAAATCGCACTCTTTGCAGTGGAACTTGACCCCTATATTAGGGTTAGGGGTGTGCACCAGGGCAGGGTCCTAGAGCTTTGTGGGGCTGGGTGAAAACAGCCAATACACCTGTTGCCACAAGTCCACAGTGAGCAATTCACTCTGCATCGCTCTCTTCTAAGTGGCTTAGTTCCGTCGAGAATTTCCAATTCACCCCTCTTTTGTGTGTCTGCTTTCTTTTCAGGTCCCAGATTCCTCCCAAGTATTACTGGTGGTTTTTCGAGACAGTCCCCGGTAAGGCCAGATGCCGGCTGTCGGGGGTGCGGGGAGGAGCAAGACCCCCCCCGAGGGCCCTGCTCCTCGCCGTGTGCTGAGACTTACCCCCCTCTGTCATTCGCAGGCATGACGGGGGTGCTGCTCTTGGTCGTCCTTGCCATCATTTACGTCTTCGCAACTCACTATTTCCGGCGCATTAGCTTCCAGGGATTTTGGATCACCCACCACCTTTATGTGGTCCTCTATATCTTGGTAAGAGGCTTGGAAGCTCTGCCTCTCCTCTCCTCTCCTCTCCTCTCCTCTCCTCTCCTCTCCTCTCCTCCTTGTGCCAGGGCGCAACTGAGCTCGCATCGCATGGGGTTCCTGCGACAGACACTTGCAGCTGATGCAAAGACCAAAGGTGGTGGGGGGGGGGGGTCGTCCGGCCACGTCAGCCCAGCCACGGAGGGAGCGGTTTCTTTTTCGCTCAGGTTAGCCTGGCTGAGGCCTTGGCTTATGTGCCCTCCAGGTCATCATCCATGGCAGCTTCGGCTTGATCCAGCAGCCCCGCTTCTACATCCATTTCATCGTCCCGGCCCTCTTCTATGTAGCGGACAAGCTCATCAGCCTGAGCAGGAAGAAAGTGGAAATCAGCGTGATAAAGGCCGAGCTGCTCCCTTCAGGTACGGGATCAGCACCTGCTGGCGGGAAGCACCTCCTCCCCGGGCCTGTCCTCCACCGGTGGCCCCTTCCCTTCCTTTCTCTCTCCTCCCTCTCTTCCTTTATCCCTCCTTCCATCCCTCCTGTCTTTCTGCCCTTCCTCCCTCTCCCCTCCTCTCTCTCTCCCCTCCCTCCCTCCCATCCTCTCAGTTGTCCCTCCTTTCTTCTCTGCCTTCCCTTTTCTGCCCTGCCGCTGCTCTCCCCATCCCTCTTTCCCCTTCCTTCCTTCCTTCCTTCCTTCCTTCCTTCCTTCCTTCCTTCCTTCCTTCCCTCCCTCTTCCTTCCGTCCAGCTTTCTCTCTCCATTCCTTCCTCACTTTCCGGCCTCCCCCCGCAACTCCCCCTCTCCGCCACGCTTCCATCCCCTCCCCCCTCGCCTTCCTCCTCCCTGTGCTTCCTCTCTCCTGCACAGCCACCCTTCTCGCGGGCACTGCCGCGTCCGCGCCTGGCGTGTGCCGCTCAGCCAGCCCCTCTCCTTTGGCTCAGGTGTCACCAACCTCCAGTTCCAGAAGCCCCCAGACTTTGACTACAGGTCTGGGCAGTGGGTGCGGATCGCCTGCCTGTCCCTAGGGACCACCGAGTACCACCCCTTCACCCTGACCTCCGCCCCTCACGAGGACGCTCTGAGCCTGCACATCCGAGCCGCCGGGCCTTGGACGACGCGGCTGCGGGAGCTCTACTCTCCTGAAAGCATCGCAGAAATGGGCAGGTACCCCAAGGTAAAGGCGGCTTTCGCTGTGTGTCTGGACACATCTGCTTGGCTAAAGCAGCGGCACGAAAGGGCGTTCAGTAGAAGACTGGGGCCCCCAGGAAGAACGCTTGCATTGCGTCCCCCAGATACGCAAAGGCTCTTTGTTGTGGGGGTGAGAGAACCAGGCTTGGGGACCCCTCTTGGGCCTCCCCAGGTGCCCCCCCATTACCGGCCATTTGGTGGTTCCCTGGCTGTGCTGCAGCATCCCCCCCCACCCCCGTTCTGAAAGGAGGAAATGTCTGTCAGACTAAAAGGAGCTCCTCTTTGGGAGTGGTTTCGTGGTTCCACCCCTTTTGCCTTTGGCCGCACCCCCAAACCTTCAGCCCACCCACCCACGGAGAGTGGCCCCCAAAGCGCCTCCGCAGCAGAGCTCCACCCTGGGCGGCAGGAGCAGCTCTCCCTGGTCAGGTGCCGCGTGATCCAGCCCATCTAAGCCGGGGGGGGCGGTCGCCTCTGTCTCCTTGCAGCTCTACCTGGATGGACCTTTTGGAGAAGGGCACCAGGAGTGGAACAAGTTTGAAGTGTCGGTGCTGGTGGGAGGGGGCATCGGCGTGACCCCGTTTGCCTCCATCCTCAAGGATCTAGTCTTCAAGTCCTCCGTCGGCTCCCGGATCCTGTGTAAGAAGGTGAGGATGCAAGAAGGGTGAAGTGGCCATTCCCCAATCCCTTACCAGCCACGGTTTGCTTGCTTGCTTGCTTGCTTGTTTATAAAATTTGTATGCCGTCCAATTACTTGTGTCTCTGGACAGCTCACAACATAAATAAATTGACAACCCCCTCGGTTAGTGGGTGCTAACTCTGCAGCGGTGGCTGATGGTGGTAGAACCACTCCAGATCCACTCCAGATTGCAGTTGGAACTGTTGGAACTTTGGGTGGGAGACTGGAAGATGGCGATGTTTTTAAAGGCTAAGGTTTTTAATCAGTTACTCTGACCAAACGTTTGGTAAAAGGCTTGAAACCAGTATTAGTCATGCTTAGAGCAGATGCACTGGAATCAGTGGGGCATTTCACCCATTTCTTCTTGTCCCCAGATCTATTTCATATGGGTGACCCGGACGCAGCGGCAGTTTGAGTGGATGGCAGACATAATCCGTGAGGTGGAGGAGAACGACCAGCAGGACCTGGTCTCCGTCCACATCTACATCACGCAGCTGGCCGAGAAGTTTGACTTGCGCACAACTATGCTGGTGAGCTCCCCAGCCTGGCTGTCCGGAGACGTCGCTCTGCTTCACCCCTGAACAGAATCTGCCCTGGGCTTCAGCCCCAAACGTGAACGGGAGGACGCAGCTTGGAGCAGTGCACCCAGAATCCTGAGCTCTTGGGAACGCCGTTTGAGAAAAGAGCGCACTTTAGAAAAAGTGCGCATATGGTGGAAATGCACATTTTCATGCTCCAGGCAGTGCAGGAAATTGTGCATTTGGGGGCATGCCTTTAAAAATGTGCACGGAAAGGCATTCTTCCCCGTTTGGACAACCAAGTTTTAAAGCCACATAATAGAGGAGAAAATGAATCAGATCAGAGCTCAAGGAGTTGAAGGCTCAAAGAACCTCAAAGAGCTCAGATTTTGCTGGTTCTCAAGCCCCTGATGCCCCACGCCCTACTTTTCCTGGGGCACAGATCAGATCAGAGACTCTGATCTCTCAGGCACCTCCCTGTATTTTCAGCTCTTATTTAAAACTTCAGAAATAATTACAAAGAGATTGAATTTTTGTAACTGGTTCATCAGCCCAGGGAAGACAAAGGTTCTGGGAATGATGCACAAGTATTAAAGCCAGTGTAATGGGATGGCTCTAAACCTAGGTTTAAATCTAGACTGAAATTAAATTAAATTAAAATCTGGATTTAAATGTAAATCCATGTCTAATCTTGGGTCACAATCAGGAAGTTCCCAGTTCAAACCTTGTCCACACCTCCTGAGCTCACTAAGGGACTGCTGCCTTCTCTTTTCCCAGTACATCTGTGAGCGGCACTTCCAGAGGGTCCTCAACCAGAGCTTGTTCACAGGCCTGCGCTCCATCACCCACTTCGGACGGCCACCCTTCCTCCCCTTCTTCTGCTCCTTGCAGGAGGTCCATCCTGAGGTCAGTGCCAGGGATAGGTAGGCGGACGGTCATGTCCTCGGTACAATCATAGCAGCCGGTGTGTTTGGAGAGCAGAGGCTGGTGTGCTTGTGGTTTTACGTGGGACTGGAGAAGCTGCGTGCGCGTTTGTGCAGAGACCGAAGGAAGCGGCCCCATCCCAGCCCAAACTCTTCGCCCACCAGGCCCTTCCTCTTTGGCTCGGACCAGCAGTGGCCCTCCAGGACCCAAGCAGAGGCTTCCCCATCACCAGCTTTTCAGCTGGAAATGCCAAGGGCTGAGCTTGAGGCCTCTGCCCGCAAACCTGGGATCTGCCGCCGATCCCGGTCCCATCCCGGCAGGAGGCGGCGAGCTCCCAAGCCAAGTCTTGCAATGGGCAGCCTGTGCTGCCACCTGTGGAGTGCATTGCTCGGAGCCCCGGCGGCGTCGCAGGGCAGCGGGGGGCTCTAAGGCAGGGGTGCAGAACCGTCCTGGTGGCTTGTGGGAATGACCCGGGAGGCAGAGCTGGCCTTGCGGGTGGGGTGGGAGAGTCCGTGTGCTTGGCTCTCCCTTGCATCCTCTGGTGTGTTGGTTTCAGGTGAAGAAGATTGGCGTATTCAGCTGTGGCCCCCCAGGAATGACTAAGAACGTGGAGAAAGCGTGTCAGAAGATCAACAAGCGTGATCAGACCCACTTTATACATCACTATGAGAACTTTTAGCTCTTTTGCAGTCTCTGCCTCTTGACTGGCAGGAGTTGCTGGATGAGAAGTCATATTCCTACCTTTTGCACTCTGAAGAGAGCTGTGCTGTTTGTCCCTTCCAAGACTCTTAAGACCATCAAGCCTGGGAACTCCTTGATGCTTGGCCATGCACCAAGGAGTAAGGGACACGCCAGCGCCTGGAACGCGTCTGGACTCACATTTGCAAACAAAGAAATAGCTGGTGCGACCCCTCCGGACCACCACCGCCACCATCACTTGCTCTGCACGGAAAGTGTTAAGCAGCTTGAAGCAGAGAGAACCCTGGCAATGGCAGAGTTTGGGAAGGGCTCCCCCGGTGGCCTGGTTTGCACAATAGTCACACAGCACCCCGTCATTTCGGTAATTATCTGTGTCGCCTGCAGGTTGCTTTATTTTATGCTTTATGAACCTGGTGGGGGTACCTTCCCGACCACCCCAGAAACCTAGAGCAAGCCATGGATGGTCTGGAAGGCGCCTTGCCAGCCACCTTACCAGGTCTAGCTAATATGGCGACCACGCACGGCATGGGCAGCTTTGCAAGTGAAGCAATTGTGCAAACAAAGAAACAGAGCGAGTCACAAGGGGCTCCCGGGCCATCTAGTCTGACCCCGGGCTCCAGCCAGCTCTGCTCCTGACACGCCTGCCAAACCCAGGCATTCTCCCAATTATCCACCCTTAGTCCTGCCCTACCACCACCATTCTTAATTAGGGAGCGGGAATCATTATCTGGCTCTAATCAGTCCAGCACTGCAGTGTGCACATGAGTTCATTTTGCACTAAAATACAAATCAAAGCACTTGCCAGAAAACTCATCTTCCGAGGCAGTGAATCAGTGTGGCTGAGATTTTGGGCCAATCACCAAGAAAGACCCTGTTACCTGCAGGTATCCATTTTCTCTGAATAAAGTCATGAACCTGGGCAAGTTCAGACATTAAAAACCCAGAATTCCAAGAGTGCTGGCAGTTATGGGCCTTTTTCTGTCTAAATTGCATAGAACTGCACCCTAAGAAAGGCCTTGTACAAATTCATGTCCCAGATGTTATGCAATCGCTGTTGATAAAGGAGGCGCTGAAAGACATTCAGTGGCTTTTACCAGACAAAATTGGCTTCTAAGACTGGACTGGGGCACGTTCTGTTTGCAAACGACTGCTCCGAAGCCTGGTTAAGCGTGGGTTATTTTTCTACTTGTAGCTAGTTGCAATTGTATGTTCGTATAGGGATGTTATATTAAAGATGGCTGATTAAACCTGGATTTGTGTGCACTCTTTGCTCAACCGTGTGTGAACGGAGCGCTGGGTTTTGGGGGCCAGGGCTGCCAGTGATGCCAAGTCCGGATGGCTCTGCACTCCCTCCGGGCGCCGGTGCGCACCCAGTGCCGGGAACATGGCTGGGACGGGCTTCGCATGGGCAGCTGGCTGGCCAGAGCCGAATTCTGGACCTGGGCTGATCCAGCAGAGCTTTTCTTCCACTCTTTCTGAGTGGGGGTCTCCCCACCCACCAGTGCACTCCAGCGACTCCCTGCTGCTGAAGGTCTTCCCCAGCCGCTGACTGAGTCCCAGGATCCAAACAGCTCCTAAGCATGGTGGGGGAGCACCGCCCCATCCTGCCTTCTTCCCCAAGAATGGAACGGCTTACTCATGAGTTGCAGCCACCCTGGTTCCACAAAATGACTCCATGGTGCTCTGAATCATTCCAAGTACAAACTCCCTTTTTTGTTCTGGACAGAAATGAAAGAAGGCCTGATCCTCTTGAATGAAGGCTTTTATCTGTTACATGCAAGACATTGGCATAATTTGGTCAGGAATCATTTCCTAATCTAATCACTCCACTGATATCTCATTGAACAAGTGACATCGTGCCTGTACGCCAAGAGGAAATGGTGCACAAGACCAAGCAAAGTTCAGAAGCACAACTCTGCCTCAAATCTCATGCGTGCTAAAGGGAGGCGCTTGGGGCTGAGGAGGGCGCAGAGCAGAGGGAGTGATTCCCGATGGCGTGTTGGGACCTGGCCCAAACCTCACAGCTGATTGCTCATGATCAGCCGCTAGAATTACGATGACAGCATAGGGAACACCTGGCAATTCAGGTCTTAGACAGTTGAACTAGCTAGATTAAGTGGCTATAATAAAGCCATAATGTTCCCCGGAAGCACCGATGAGCGCACGGAGGCTGATGCGCTTGAAGCGCATCATGAGAAAGGAGGACTCACTGGGGGAGGCGATCGTGCTGGGCAGAGCCAGGGAGAAAAAGAGGAGCAGCGGATACCTGTTGGGAAGATCTCATAAAGGAAGTCACAGGCTTGAATTTGCAAAAGCCGAGCAGGGCTGTCAAGGACACGACATTCCTACCAAACAGAAGTGTCCAAGGAGCAGCCAAACGTGGCGATCACTCCCTCTCCACCCGCTTTTCTCTTCCAGGTTCCAGCGGGGTTGGTAGCCCACTCTGAGGTGGCCGCTTCCTCACCTCCCGGGCAATTCTTGCGGGTTCTTGCCTGCCAGCACACGAGCTTGCTTGTGAGTGGCACACACCCATCTCGAACTGAAGCCACATTCATAAGCCCCAGGGCTGTTTGCTACGAGAGGCGGCTGTAATCATTGTCTAGACCGTGAGCAGACCAGTTTGTTCTGCAAGGGGCTTGCTGTGCGCTCGGCTCAAAGCCCCTGGGATTTAGCTGCTACCCCACGAAACTGTGTAGGACAACAAAGGATCAGGGTACTAATCCCAGCAAATCTGTGGGGTTAAGAAAAGTTGAGGGAGTTGAGGAAAAGAGGCCAGACTTTCTGCTTTTTTTTGCGCAGGAGAGCTTAAAACGTTCGGCTCCAGTTGGCCTGTTCTGCTCTAATTGGCAGGCCGGGCGAGCACCGTGGCCCGAGTCTTCCCAAGACAGACTCCTCCCCACACTCGGCTTCCCTGGCCCAAAGAGCAGGGGGCACGGAGGGCCCTGCTGCGTCTTCTGACGTGAGCAGAGTGAGGCGCCTGAAGGGCCCCCGGCCAACACCGAGGCACAGCTTTGCACGTGCGCATCTAAGATCCATGCGTGTCTTTCTTCAAGGGGAATTTTTCCTTTACTTGGAAGTAGGTGAGTTGCTGCCAGGAACAGATGCCATGGCTAGATGACTCGCTCAGGGAGCCCTGTGCCTAACGGGACGGGCGAGGAAACAAATAAAATAAAATAAAATAAAATAAAATATAAAATAAAATAGGAGAGGGTACTCATCTTTGCCCACCTACCCTGCTTCAGCTCCTGCAGCTAAAGAGAGGAGTGTGGGGAAATGGTCTCGCAGCATCGCCGGGGAAGGGAAAGGGCCTGCGCCTTCTCCCTGGGACGACACGGAGCCCATGCTTCCCGCCCCTCCCGTGCTGCCTGCCTGAGGGCGGCTGGCCCTTTCCGGACAGTAGTGAGAGAACTGCGGGAGCAGATACCACGCGTTCCTTCCAACCAACCGTGTGTGTCGTGTGTCATCATCGTGCATCTTCCTTGGAAACTGATTATCAGCTCCCCTGTAGCTCACTAAGTGACAAAGCACCTGTGATTCTGGGCAGGACTGTACCATCTGGGGAAAGTTCAGGCAGGACCGTGCATGTTCGCATCATGCCCACGTCACCGAGAGCCAGTGCAGGAAATTCCACCGGTTCCTTCTACACTGAGCCAAGCGCCCTGCCCTTCACCTCTCCCACAGCACCTCCAGCCCACTCCGAGGGGCGGCTCTGGGCTGCCGCTTCTCAGGAAAGGGAGAGGAATCTCTCCCTCGCCGCTCGTAATTTTCCACACCCCGATCACGTCTCCCCACGGTTACTTTTTCTCCAGGCGGCCCCGAGCCGTAGCCGCCTCTCCTCGCAGGGAGCTGCTGCAGCCCCCGATCCTTTCTCTCTGCAAGGTCCTTTCTGGGGGGAGTGACCAGAAGACGCGCCACGCCAAAAGTGCTTGTGCCCTCACTTTGGGTGGCGCTCCAGCGGCACCATCACGACGCCGGCAAAGATGTACCATTTCGCTGGCAGTCACTGGAGCAATACGTGGCAAACGAGGGACCGGCACCCCAGCCTGGGGCCCGGTGCTTCAAGGGAATCATGCGGCCTCAGTGTGCATTAAGAGTCCAGAGCCGGACCTTCCTGGCTGTTTATCTCCGTGCACGAGGGCAGGCAAGCAAAGCCGGCTGCTGCCACCGCATTTTTGACCATCCCCTGCTTGTCCAAGAGGGGTTGTAGCTGGTGGGTGAGCTGGGAGAATGGGCCGCTGGCAGATCCAGAGCATTTCGTGCAAAGCACATTGCTAAAAAATTAATTTAGTGCTTGCATTTGTAATGTTTCAAATCCCATGTATTTATTTTTGTTATTTTTATCATTTTTGTTACCCTGATTTTTAATGGCGAAAATGGCACTGGGGTGGTTTTAAAAAATCCCACAGGTCTGGGGTTCCGGTCCAGTTCTCCCCACACCCGCTGCCCTGGGGTGCCGGCCAGGGGACCAGGGACTGTCGCAGGTCCCCCGCTCATCAAGTCCACCGGAAGGTCCAACCGGGGCCTCCTCTCGGTGTGACAGAGGAGTGCGCCCACGCCATGCCTTCTGCGCCAGCGATGCTCTGACTGTACAGGTCAAAGGGAGGGAGACTCCAGGGACCTGGTGGGAGTGACTCAGCAGACACTTAGGAGCCACCAGATCCCTCTGGATTCTCCTTTCCCAAAGGCTTCCCTACAAGAAACAGGGTCCTGCATCTCCCAGGCATCCCCCCACGTCTTCCAATTGTGAAGACACATTCCATTACAGGTCCGAGGAGGAGGAGGAGGAGGAGGAGGAGGAGGAGGACTTGTCTGAGACAGGCCCGAGTGACTGTGTTGCCTTCAGTCTTGACTGCAAGAGCCAACGATCGAAGGATGGGATGCCCTTTTCCAGTAGTTTGAAAACTCAGTGCCAGTATAAACAGACTTCCCAGAAAGAAACCAAAAGATAAATAAAAATAACCACACCTAATGCTATAAGAAGAACTCGTGGTTTGTGAGGTTTGCTAAGAAAACTCTTTTTTAAAGGGTACAATGTCTGCTACTCAAAAAATAATAGTCTATATAGCATAATGAGCCGGCACTCCAGGACGCCACTTGAGCTTTGATGGGCTTGGCTGTTGGCAGCAGCGCAGTGTGGCTCCTCATGGGTTCCCCTGGCTCTTGGCAACGTGAGCGGCACGGGGTACATCTTGGGATGAGCTGAAGAGCAGAGGAAGACCCTGCTCATGGATTCCCCCAGGCTCTTGGCAACGTGAGCGGCACGGGGTACATCTTGGGATGAGCTGAAGAGCAGAGGAAGACCCTGCTCGCATGCAAAAGGCCCTGAGTCTGCTCTCCCCGCTGCGGCAGTGTGTCCAGTCAGACTCGCCACATGCCCGAGCAGCTGGTGCCAAGGTGTCACTACGATAGCAGCCTGGTCCAGTTACGCTCAAGGGCCGTATAGCGATGTGCATCGCACTGTGAAGAGAGAAAACTCCAGGCTGACATTTTA